TCACTACACGGATGGACCCAACAATGAGTCTTCGCTCCTACTTCGATTGAGTTGGAAATCTTACGCACCAACTCAAATCTGCCCACTTCGAGTTACCATCTTGGGTGGTGGTAATCTCCATCATTCTCAATCTGCCAGACTCCTTCAAGACTCTCACAGAAACTATTTGCACCGTGAAAGACATCAAGTCTATGACGGTTGAATACCTACAGTCACGTCTACTCGATGCCGATTGGGAGCGGTCACAATCTGGTATAAGCCGCAACATGGAAGGTGCATACAACCTCCATTCCCAGCCCTCCCTCCCTATTCGCTCCGGTTCCCGCCAGTCCCCAACTTGCCACTATTGCAAGAAAACCGGACACACCATTGACGAATGCTTCAAGTTGAAGAAGAAGAAAGAGCTTGAAGAATGCTCTCGATGGGAGAAATCTGTCATCCAGCCTTCGGTGCATGTGTCAACAAGCTCCTTCGCCGACATCCCTTCGACCTCCACAACACCTATTGCCCCATCAGCCCCTCAGTCCGTACCTGATTCCCGGTACGTTGACATTGCTTTCAGCACCAGCCACCACCCCATCCTCCCCACCTGGACTCCTCTCATCGCTGCTGTCTTCATCTTCACCATCCTCCTCCTCCTCCTCCTCCTCCTCCTCCTCTTCCCTTATGGTGCTCCCTACGCATTGGCATTCACGGCCTCCTCATCAAACATGGTCCGGACTTCTTCCTGGCTGGTGGACAGTGGCGCATCTTCCCATATATGCTCCGATCGCTCGCTGTTTTCATCTCTCCAGCAGCCAACTGATGATATTATCGTTCGTTTTGGTGGTGGAGAGACTTACAAGGTCTTGGGAGTCGGCACGGTGGTGGCTACTCTTCGTTCACAAACCTCGGAAACCACCATCCAGCTAGACAACGTTCTGTTTCTCCCTTCATCGGTTCACAATCTACTCTCAGTTCGTGCACTTGGAGCTGCCGGCATTGCCGTTTCCTTCCCCACTGCTGGACGGGTTGAGCTCAAAACTGATGAGGCTCATATTGGCGAGGGCGTTACCGGCAACAATCTGTTTTACCTTCAGCTGCATCATGGGAGCAGTGCCGCCCACCCCATCAACCCAACGGCATGTCCAGTCTCCACCACCACCTCCTCATACCTTTGGCATCGCCGTTTCGGGCATCTTAACATGCGGGACTTGTCAACACTTCATTGGCAACAGCTGGTCACCGGTCTTAACCTCCCCTCCTTCTCAATTCCCCAGTGCATCTCGTGCTATCGTGGGAAACAAACGCGTCAACCATTTGGCGTGTCCCATTCTCGCACCACAGCCCCGCTCCAACTCATTCATTCGGATATTGCTGGACCATTTTCATATGGAATTACCATTAGAGGCGCTCGCTACCTTCTCACCTTCATCGACGACTATTCCCGCCACATTACCGTGTATCTCCTACGCCATCGTTCAGAGGCATTGTCGTACTTCAAAGATTATGTCACTCGGGTGCACAATATGCATTCCCCAAGGACCATCAAAGCGTTTCGCTCCGATGGTGCCTTGGAGTTCAATTCCGACGCCTTCACTTCATTCCTTAAAGCTCATGGCATCACTCGACACCGCTCTACGCCGTACACACCCGAACAAAATGGAGTTGCTGAACGCGCCAATCGGACTATACTTGAGATGGTCCGTTCCATGCTTGATGACGCACACATGGACAAACGATGGTGGGGTGAAGCCGCTCTCACTGCTTCCTATCTCCGAAATCATGCCATTAGTCGGGGTGGTTCAACTTCTAAGACTCCTATAGAACTATGGACCGGTGCACGTCCGGACGTATCACACCTCCGCATCTTCGGTTCACCCATTTCAGTCCTCGTTCCTCTGCAACGGCGCTCTAAGCTCGACGACCGAAGCACGGCCGGTATCATGGTTGGGCATGGTCATCTTGACGGCACCAAAGCTTATCGCATCTATATCCCAACTCAGCACCGTGTCACACTTTCTCGTGATGTCATCTTCATGGAGCCCTCTTCGCCACCTTCCGATGACCCTCGAGAACCTCCATTGTCATCTCCACCACCCATATCATCCTCTCCGCCTCCTCCTCCACCCCCTTCCCTCTCAGACCACCACTCTCCTCCCACCATCTCCAAATCTGCCACCACCAGCCACCTCTTCTCCTCCTTTGTTTTCCAACCTTCCTCTGCCGTCGACGCCGCAAGACTTCCGCCTTCCATCCCTCTCCTCTCCTTCTTCAGCTCGTCCTCCCCCTTGCACCTCTAGTTCCTCACCACCATCCCCTTCAGCTCCTTCCTTTCCTTCACTTCTCTCACTGCTCAAGGTCTTACCCTCTCCTTCTGAACCCATTGACTTCACCCTTCCTCCTCTTTCCAAGACCTCCACTAATGCTGCCTTTCATCATCATTACGAACCTCAAAACATTTATGAGGCCCGCACCGGCCCTGATGCTGCTGAATGGATCAAGGCTGCTGATGCGGAACTCGCTGCCCTGCACGCTAATGACACTTACAGCGTTGTTCCTCGACCACCCAAGTGCAAGCTGATTCCATGCAAATGGATTTTTAAATCCAAGGAGCACGCTGATGGTTTTATTGAACGCCGCAAGGCCCGCCTTGTTGTCAAAGGTTCCAAACAACGCGACGGTGTTGATTTCCATGACACCTTTGCTCCTACCGTCCGCTTCGCCACCCTCCGCCTCTTCCTCACCATTGCTGCCGCTTTCGACCTGGAAGTCCATCAGCTGGACATTTCCAACGCCTTCCTCAACGACACTCTCGATGAAATTCTCTACATGATGCAGCCTCCCGGTTATGAACTTCCGGCGGTCCATGGTGTTGAGCAAGTTTGTCTCTTGCACAAACCGTTGTACGCGTTGAAGGAAGCGCCGCGGTACTGGTACTGCCTTTCACCTTTTTGCTGCCCGTGCGGACCCCGGCCTCTTCATTGCTCCTCCACAATCTCCTTATCAGCCTACAGATGCATCGTTCTTCATGCTTCTCGTCTATGTTGACGACCTCATCATTATTTCCTCCTCCTCTTCTCTTCTTTCCTCATTCAAGCGTGCCCTTTCATCTCGCTTCAAGCTTCGTGACCTCGGTCCTCTTTCCTACTACCTTGGCTTTCACATCACTCGTGATCGGACCTCCCGCACTCTCCACCTTCATCAATCCAAATTCATCACCTCCATCTTAGACACCTACTCATTCACTCCACTTAACCCTGCTGCCACCCCCATGGACACCAAGTTTCAGCCGGCCGAGACTTCCTCCCCACACTCCTCCTCCTTTCCTTACACCTCTTTTGTCGGATCCATCATGTATGCCATGGTGGGTTCCCGTCCCGACCTCGCATATAGCGCTGGATTTCTTGCTCGTCACCTTCATGATTGGTCTACTCGTCACGTCTCGGCTGCCAAACGCGTTGCTCGCTACTTGAAAGGGACTACCTCACTCGGGCTTCTCCTTGGCGGCATTCCCAACGCCCTTGAACTGCATGGGTGGTGTGACGCCTCTTGGGAACCGGAAGGAGAGCTCCGACGCTCCGTTACATGCTACGTGTTCTTCCTCGGTCCGTCACTCATCTCTTGGCAGTCCAAATATCAAGCTGTCGTCGCTACCTCTTCATTTGAAGCTGAATACTATTCTCTGGCACGAGGCATTATGGCCTTGATCCCTCCTTACTGCACTTGGACTTCCCCCAACCGGCGCCACCCGCATCTCGTGTGACAACAACAGTGCCATCATTCTGGCCAAGGACGACGGCGTCTTTCATCCCAAGGTCAAGCACATCGACATTAAGCACCACTTCATTCGTGATCATGTCGCCGACCACTCCATCACCCTTCACTATGCTCCTACTCAAGACAACCTCGCTGACATTGGCACCAAGCCTTTGCCCCGTAACCCTTTTCTTCGCATCCGTGGTCTTCTCGGCCTCACCCATGTCGCTGCTTGAAGGACCCTACCCCGGGGACATCCTTGAGGGGGGGTGTTGTGCAACAAGTATGTCCCAAAGGGTAGATTCTCACCTTTGGTCTTAGAGGTCGTGGGTTCAATTCTTAGTAGCTACACTTTCCCTTCTCATTATGCTCCACATTACATGTCCACACTCCACCACAGTGAAGTTTGGTCACAGTTGGCATTGCCACCTGTCCACTCATCCCACACTCACCTTGCTGGCCTCTATGGTGTGCCATATGCTATCATGTGGGCTGTTGTTCCGGCCTGGCTCACATGTGCAACATGTGGCCTCACTTGCTAGCTTGGCAAGGTTGGCTAGCATTAGGGATAAGCATTTTGCCGAACACCCGTTCGGTTTGACTCGAACATGTTCGAGTCGAAACGAACGAGATATTTTTTGCCAAAAAATGTTCGGCTCGAACATGTTCGTGTTCGTGCGAACACGTTCGGTGTTCCCCGGCCACGATGTGCCAAGCCGCGTCGAACACGAACATGTTCGTGTTCGACACGCACATCGACGAACACCTCAGGTGTTCGTCGACGAAAAGGCCGCGACCTAATTTAGGGTCGCGGCCCATTCAATTGTGGCTCATTTCATTTTGTTGAGCGTAGCCTAGCCACCATGTCGTTCCCACCAGCCCCCCCACCCCCTACCATATACCACACCCACACCACCAGTTAGTACTAGCCTAGTGCCTAAATGTGTTCAATCAACTATGGCGTTTAGGCTTTCGGGTGATTTCGATGCTTGCAAAAGAACGTAGCACCTACACCAAACTTATACGTTGTAGTAGCGAGATTCCATTAGGGTTGCCGCCGCTGAAGGGGTTTCCACCGTTAGGTTTAGGATCAAAGGGTCACATCACTCCCCTCCCCACACCTCGCTGCCGCGGTACCGTTCGTTCAAGGGTTTAGGGTTGCTTCGGCGGTCGCGGAAATGTCCTCCCACCAACAAGTTAGTGCAGGGCGGGGTGGTCGCGGTGGAAGTCAGGCCGGTGCTCCATCGTCTGCACCACGTCCTATGCAGGGTCGAGTAGGTGACGGCCCTGGAGGAGTGGGTGCTGCTTTCGTCGGTGGGCTTCTGTCCATGCCGGTGCCGTCAACCCATCGGTCGTTCCGTTACTCGGGTTCTCGGCCTCGTACTTCTGGGCAGACGCACACCACCACTCAGACGGATAGTGTGGCGGACGAGGAGGAGGAGGGGGACGATGAGGGGGACGATGAGGGGGAGGGAGAGGAGGAGGAGGAGGAGGAGGAGGAGGAGGAGGAGGAGGAGGAGGAGGAGGGGAGCGGTGATGATAGTGAGCCGGGGTGGACACCCGAGACGCATGGCGGTGCTGGGGACGGTGGAGGAGATAAAGACGAGGAGATGGAAGGGTTGGAGCCTGAGGGGGTGGAGGAGGGGGTTGGTGAGGGAAGAGGGGTTGCCGCGGCTGCCGTAGAGGAGGCATCTCAGCTTGTGGGTAGACGGCCAGGGCGTCGCGGTGGCGCTGTTAAGGTTGGGCGAAAGAGGCCGTTAGTTGGGAACAGGAAGAAGAAACCCGAGAAGCTGCGGACCCGAGCGTATCCTTGCACCTTCAAAGGGGTGGATTTGGGCGAGGGTGTGGTTGCTCCAGGGTTTCTTGACGAGGAAGGAGAGCCAGAGAGCAGCATGGGGAGTGGCAAGGGGAGGAGGAAGCCGGGGTGGCAAGTTCAGATGTTTGGGCCTTTGGGGAAGGATGACAAACGGCAATGCAAGATTTGCACTGATCGGATTTCGTGGAAGGGCTCTACACCTACACCAGGCGAGCGCCACTTCGAGAGCTACCACACTGCTCATATGGATGTGTGGTTCCACCGTTTCCACAATCCAAATCTGCAACTGCCGGGCGAGACTTTTCCGAGGGGGGGTTACGTCGGAGTGCCTGATGGCTACGTGTATTATTGGCCACATGCAGAAAGCTGGCCAAACATCCCAAAGAAGGGAGGGAAGGCAGAGGGGCGAGGGGCGGCGGGGTCAGGCGAGGCTGGGATCAAGAGCTACATGTCGAAGAAGCTGTCAGAAGTGGAGCTTCGTCAAGCGATCGCCAAGCTGGTGGTGACCTGCGACCTGCCCTTCAAAATTGTGGAGGCTGAGGCGGTAAGGGTATCGGGCTGCTGGGCGTGGCTGGTGTGGTCTGGTTGGTTGGCTCGGACGTGGCAGTTTGCAAGTTTTGTAGGTACGACGAGCGCATGTTGTTGAGGGGAGGGTGTTGGGTTGGGGCTTTTACGCCACTCCGTTCCATGTCAACTATGATGGATTATACGCTCTAGACCCTTTGCGTTTAGCGTATCTACGCTAGCGTGTACACGCAATACGCTAAACGCTAGCAACTACGCAATACGCAGGCAGAATTTTTTTCGGGCAGCCCGGAAAAGTAAAATCGCAGAAAAGATGCAGATTTTCTTGGTGAACATTTCGCCGAAGTCGAAATGCAAATCCGCGGTCTATGCAAGCTGGGATGTGACTTCGAAGTTTTCAGGCAAATCTGGCTATTCAAATGTCGAATTTCAGGTCCCATCTAGGCATTTGAACCCATCCCCTCTACCGCATTGAAAACCATCTTATCTACAAACTCCAACCTATCAAAATCGAACCCCCAACAAATCTCACGCTACTTACCAGCCAACCCAACTCCTAACACGTCATTTCCTACCTTGCATTCTCGCTTGCAGCAGTGTTCCCGCGCACTCCAACTTGAACAGCCTCTCCAACACTACTCCCTATAGCTATGATGTCTACTCCCCGCCCCACCTCACCCGCCGATCGGACTCAGGAAAATGCTAGGGCACGTCTTAGTGAGATGTTTCTTCCACCGATAGGCGGTGATATTTTCCACCCTGCCCGAAAAGTTTTTTCCCTGCCCGAAAAAAGCGTATGCCTGATCCGACCCTCAAGCGTATGGCGTATACACGCTAGCGTATATACGATACGCATATATATGCTAAATACGTATAATCCATCATAGCATGACCTCACCCTTGGTGCGCAAGGGGAAGACCGTGGTGTAACGCGTGTAGTCGTCAACAACGATCAGGAAGTACCTCTCGTGACCCTGTCCACGGACGCGGGCTGGGCCCCACACGTCCATGTGGAGCGTCTGCAAGGGAGCAGTCGTCGGGGGAAACGAGGAGGAGTGAGGAGCGGCGCGCTGCCGCCCCTCGACACAAGGAAGACAGGGAGGAGCAGGCGAGGGTGGGAGGGGAGGGAGTACCCGGGGAAGACCAGAGACAAGGTACCGTTTGTGCATGGCACGAAGGCGCTGCACTGACGGGTGACCAAGGCGGTGGTGCCAGAGGACGGTCTCGTGTGCTAGAGAGCGACACGAGCAGGGGGCAGACAGCTGACCTGAAGCAGACGCAGACGCAGCTACCTGAGGGGACTCAGTGGTCAGTGTGTACAGGTCCGACCCCGGCTGCCGAGTGAAGGTAGCCAGGTGACGGCCCGTCCGCGCACACGTGCAGTGTGTCACGCGCTCGTAGGCAGGGGTGAACTGGTGGACACCCCCGTCCTGGAGCGCACAACCCGCCACCAAGTTCGTAGAGAACGAGGGGAGGTGGAGACCTGACAGTGTGCCCGACGGAACCGCAGGACAAGGAAGGACAGTGGAGGAGGTCGCAATGACCGGACCCCCAGAGGGGTCAGCAAGGGAGACAGCAACTGGCCGAGCAAGCTGCTCAAGGGCAGTGCGGTCACGAAAGAAACAGCGAGAAGCACCTGAGTCCAGTGTGAAGGTGTGCAGTGCCTCAGTAGACTCAGTACCAGGGGGGGCAGACTCACGAGTACCTAGAGCAGCAGCCTCACCAGCACCTGGGGCAACAGACACTCTAGCACCTAGAGCGGCAGCCTCACCAGTACCTAGAGCAGTAGACTGGATACCGGGGTCAGGCGGCACACACAGGTGACAGGCACTCTCAGCACTAGTAGACAATGCATACATGGCAGTGAGGATAGCATCATAGTCAAGAGCAAAGATATCTACCCTCTGCCTAAGCAGCTCAACCCAGTCGGGGAGCTCAGCGTCGTCGCCAAGCTCTGTACGCCAAACGTCGCCCAGACGGGCGAAGCAGTGGGACTCTGTGTGACCACGTGTCCCGCAAGGCTGACCAGTCCGGACACCTGTGCGAATGACGTACGGGCAGCGAGCAGTACTCAGTGACCCTCTACTCTGAGCGTACCACTCACGAAGCTGGTGGGGCGAAAGAGCCTCGCGTAGACGACGCGGCTGCTGCACCGGGCCACTACAAGAAACTCCCAAACTACCCACTCCAGGACGACTCCCACTACTGCCACCCCGACAACCCCAACTGGCGTACCACTCACGAAGCTGCTGGGGCGTGAGGGACACACGCGGACGGCCCTGGAGCTGCATCTGGCCACGCCAGGAGCAGCAGTAGAAGCAGTAGCAGCAGCAGTAACAACAGTAGTAGTACGGGCAGGGCAGTGCTCACCAATGGTGGGAAGGGCAGGCGTACGAGCGGGGCGACTGCGGGGCCGCCACAGCGGCCGCTCCAGGGGCGGCTGCTCCAGGGGCGGCTGTTCCAGGGGCCAGGAGCGGCTCCTGCAGTGGCAGCTGCTCCAGGGGCGGCTGCTACTGTGGCCAGGGGCGGCTGCTCCAGGGGCGAGGGGCGGCTCCTGCAGTGGCGGCTGCTCCAGTGGCCGGCTGCTCCAGTGGCCAGGGGCGGCTGCTCCAGGAGCCAGGGGCGGCTGCTCCAGGGGCGGCTGCTCCAGAGGCCATGCGCGGGTTAGGTCAGGGCGACTTAGCGGGCAGGGGCGACGCGCGGGCAGTGGCGACGCGGCGGGCAGGGCGACGCGGCGGGCAGTGGCGACGCCGTGGGCAGGGCGACGCGGCGGGCAGGTGGCGACGTCGCGGGCAGGGCAACGCGGCGAGCAGGGGCGACGCTGCGGGCAGGTGACGACGCGGCGGGCAGGTGGCGACGCCGCGGGCAGGGCGACGCGGCGAGCAGGGGCGACGCCGCGGGCAGGTGACGACGCGGCGGGCAGGTGGCGACGCCGCGGGCAGGGCGACGCGGCGAGCAGGTGACGACGCCGCGGGCAGGGCGACGCGGCGGGCAGGTGGCGACGCCGCGGGCAGGGCGACGCGGCGAGCAGGTGACTACGCCGCGGGCAGGGCGACGCGGCGGGCAGGTGGTGACGCCGCGGGCAGGTGGCGACGCCGCGGACAGGTGGCGACGCCGCGGGCAGGTGGCGACGCCGTGGGCAGGGGCGACGCCGCGGGCAGGTGGCGACGCCGCGGGCAGGTGGCGACGCCGCGGACAGGTGGCGACGCCGCGGACAGGTGGCGACGCCGCGGGCAGGCGGCGACGCCGCGGGCAGGGCGACGCGGCGGGCGGCGAGAGCCTGCAGGGGCGGCGCGCGGTCGGGCAGAGGCTGCGCGCGGGCCTGGCGGGTCTGCAGGGGCGGCTCTCGGGCCTGACGGGCCTGCAGAGGCGGCTCGGGGGGGGCCTGACGGGTCTGCTGAGGCGGCTCGGGGGCCTGACGGACCTGCAGGGGCGGCTGGAGGGCCGTACTAGCTTGCAGGAGGCAGCGCGAGGGCTACAGGACGGCACTCGGGCAGACCGAAGGGCGGGGCGCGCGAGGGCGCACGAGCAGAGAAAGGCGCACGAGGGCGCACGAGGGCGCACGAGGGCGCACGAGCAGAGAAAGGCGCACGAGGGCGCACGTAAGGTAGGGCGCACGAGGGCGCTTCTAGCGGAATAGTGGGCCCGTAGTAGAAAGCGGTCCTAGGTAGCAACCTAGGCTCGTGATACCATGTTAGAATCTAGAATAGAACGAGAATGATCAAACTAGGAATGATGGGGATACAAGTAGGCAACCCTAGCAATGTTGTACCCCCTAAGGCTAAACCCACTATAGCCTACACAATATAAACATATAATGTTTGACATGTAGCTGCAGAGGAGCTGAAAGTTTCAGCAAGGGGAGGTGAAACGGACTGGATGACAGCCCACCGTCGCCTCGGGCACATTGCTATGCCCGCACTGCAGCAACTGCACAAGGATGAAGGGGTCAAGGGGCTGAAGCTGACAGGTGCAGCAGCTACCCACAAGTGTGAAACTTGCCTTGTGAGCAAGTTCACTCGGTTCCCATTCCATGCAACTGATGGTGGAGGCAAGAAACTGCTGGAGCTAGTGCATATGGATGTGGTGGGGCCGCTACCGGTGCTGGGGGAGCGTGGTGAGAAGTTTTTCTCACCATAGTGGATGACTGGAGCCGAGTGACATGGGCATATCCAATCAAGAAGAAGGACCACGTGCCAGTGATAATCCGTGATGAATGGCTGCTGTTGGTGGAGAAGCAGTCCCAGCACAAGGTGATGCGTATTAGGACTAATAGGGGTGGAGAATTCCTTGGGGAGGAGCTAACCACATGGTTGAAGAAGCAGGGCATCATTCGAGAACTCACCACCTCCTACACACCACAATCTAATGGCGTAGCAGAACGGGCAAACCGCACGGTCTTGGAGACAGCACGGGCTCTTCTCATCGAATCAGGTTTGGGGAACTCCAAGTGGCCACATGCTGTGCGCCACGCCACGGTGGTGAAGAACAGGGTGGTCACCAATGTCGATGGTGAGTCATGGGTCCCCATGGAGAGGTGGCTGGGGAGGAAGCCACCCATTGACATGCTGCGTGTGTTTGGCTGCATGGCTGTGGCTCATATCCCCAAAGCACATCGCAAC